GTTGCAGCTATATATACTCTTTTATTAACCCCTTCCCATATATCAGAAGTTAAGGATATAACACCCCCATGTTGTTGCAAATCCATAATTAATTATTGTTTTAAATTATTGAAATAATTTATTTTATCGGCATGAAGAGTGTTTCGACTTACCCCAACGTACGTCGGTTGTAGATATTCTTTCACGAACGAGACGAAGTGTTGGTTGTCTGCAATAGCCAGAGGCAACTCAGTGGCGGTAACAAATTTCACCATTCCGGTTCGAGTATCGTCCTCCGAATACACCCACGTGGATAGGGGTGAAGTTGTAGAACCGACGCCTGGACTGCCAAATTGTAATTGTGTTTGACCAGCTGGAAGAAGTCCATGTCTGGCTGCACATGATTTGTAGTGGCGGTTGAGATGAGTGGTACTAATTCCTTTTTACCATGCCAATCTTTGTTGACAGTATTTACATACTGGCTTTAGATTCTGCAAGGCCATCAACGACTTTTCCCGTTGAAATCAACTTAAAGTGATCCCAACATTTTGCTTGTTTTTTGGCCTTTCGCTTTCCCCTCGCATCTGGGATATTTAATTGCTGATCTTCATCTTCATGTTCTGCTTCGGGAACGTTAATATCATCCAAATCAATTGGAGTGTGGCTTCCCTGACTGTGAATGTGAACATCTTCAGGTATCGGTATGTCATTTAGACTGGTAAATTCATTTGGAAATTGAATTTGCGGCATCCTAGGCGATTCTCCATGATGTGGCAGTGGCTCACATCCTGTATCGAACAAGCTCTCAACAAATGAACGTTGATCCATTTCTGTGATTGTTTATGATGAAATCTTGACTAGATGAATATAAATGTAGTGAGATTGTGAGAATTGAGAATTGGATGAATTGAAATTGTAACTAATAAACTGTAAAAATTGAATTGATATTGTATATTTTGCAGCACAAGAGAGTAAAAATTCGATAATTGATATAATAAAAGAGAGTCGAGAGGGTCGTAATCTTGAAAGAGCAATTGATATAAAAAAAATTTTTTGGGAAGGGGGTATTTATAGTAAAAAGGTGGGGGGGGGGGAATTAAAAAAAATTAAAATTCAGTGACCAGAACGGTCACTGGCTCGACGAGCCACGAGCCGTTATTTTTAACGAGCCACGAGCCGCTCGTGGGCTTGCCCACGAGTGGCTCGTTTAAATGGTGAGCCAAGCGGGCTCGGCTCGACTCGGCTCGTGCTCGGGCTTGTGATTTCACGAGCCTGAGCTGCCTATGAGCCTCTTTTCCACGAGCCGAGCCGGCTCGACCCAATTGACATCCCTAATTGGAACGAATGCCATACATTTGGTTGGCGAGGTTGCGGCCTGAATGTTCTCCCATTATTTATTGACCTGAGCTGCCTCTCAAAAGGCGGTCCCCTATAGAATGATGTACCTCGCCCTCTAACAGGCTGAGCGTTTGGGAAAAAATTAGGGCGATGGTGATGCTGCCATATCCCTGGTTTCTCTGTATTTGCACTCACTTCTCCTTTACATCTTGTACACAGGACGTCTTCATCCTTTTTAGGCTCCTTCCCTTTGATACGTTCAAAGACACTGGGGTGTAGCCCAGGGTCCTCCTCTCCGTCGGCTATAACCAACTTGAATTTTGGCTACCTATTTTTGAAACCAGTCGTCACCATGTTTACCCCAAGTGGCTGTAGAAAAGGGTTTTCATCCACTACCATCTTCTTCTTATCCTCGAACGTAATTCGTCCTGATTGAATGGCGTCCTATAACACATGGTGAAAAACCAAACAGTTGTTAGTCAAATGTGACCATGCATTATGCCACTTACAATATTTTTTACCCTTGATTTGTTCAATGCTTGACAACTTATGTTTATCGCTCAACTTTATTTGCTTATCCTTATATAGTTTATCAAATATAAGGTCAGCTTTGGTTACATCGAACGAGAACGTTCTAGCCGTTTGTTTTCATCTTTTATAGGCTCATCCTTGCCCGACGATCTAGGCTTAGCCATTATAGGACAAGTATACGCATCTCCTTTGATTAATTCGGCCAAACACATTTTTATTTGATCGTGATACTCGTCATTAATGGTATGAACATCAAAATTTGGGTCTCTATAATAAGTCCCCTTGCTAGAATTTTTTATTTGCTCTTCTTCTCTTATTAATCATTCATACCTAATCACGTTTGCGCTCAATTGGAAAAGATCAGGAAATTCCCTGTCTTGGAATTTCTTTTTCAAATCAAAGCTTAGACAACTTTGAGCGATTTTGACAAACTCCTTTTCGGGCAAAGGTACAAAACATTTACTTCTTGCTGTCTTGAACCTTTGAAGGAAACCTTCTGCCAATTCGTTTGGCATTTGATGGAGATTTGCCAAATCGACTAAAGTAACTTCAGACTCAATCTTATAAAACTGAGTATAGAACAATTGTTCCAATTGTTGCCATGTTTGAACAGAATTCGCTGGCAAATTGATGAACTAGGAGAAAGCTACTCCTGTTGATGAACTAGGGAACAACCTCATTTTATGGTAGTCGGTTACTTCACCACTTTGCAATGTGAATCGCACTATGTGTTCTAGAGTAGACATCTCTCCTAAATCGGTAAATAATGAGAATTCTGGCACTTTATACCCTCTAAGCCATGGATATGCTTGGTCTACCCAATCAGGATATGACTTCGTGTAAGTCGGCCTAATGACAGGACGTATCCCAAAAGTCATTTGATCCTGTACTATTTCCATAATTTGATTTCTCAACATGACGTTGGGGTCATATAGAATTCCTACAGGTTGGTTGATCGGTTGATTTGCCTGAGGCCTGATGTTTGGTCCTTGGTTGACAACAAAGTTGCCATGATTTGGGTCATTGTTACCATTAGCCTGAATATTTATTCCCTCATTAACACGTGGGGTATTCTGTCCATTATTTAGGACATTGTCTCTTACATTTAGGTTACCCCCCAAGTTAGATGTACCATTACCACTATTCTGATTTGGCATTACACCATCTCCCTGGTTTGAAGTAGATGGACCAAAAGGTGGTTCTATCCCTTGATTTAGACTTAGGATTGGGGAATTATGTCCTACAATTGTCCTCGCTTGAAAGTGACTTGCAATAGGCACAACTGGCTGACAAATTTGGCCTACTAACTTATTCATTATTTCATTTAATGTATTCAGTTGTTTAGCTATGTTGTCATAATGTGTATTCCCATTCTGGGTAAATCTTTCCATATTATGAACATTTCGTAGATTTACCTGTTCAACGACATCCTGTGTGAGTTCTCCAAGCAATGCACGCATGGTTCGAGGACTCAACTCTGTCATTAGTTCGTAACGACTGTGACTGCTCTGACTTTGTCCCTCTGTTCATTGAGAGCTTTGCTGCTCCTCATATCGCTCGATCACAGACTGGACTCCTCCCTGACTTGCTGCTTCCTTATCAGATTTGTGAGGTATATTGTTTCACTTTTTGTATCCTCAACACCAAACACCAAGGTCCCACCGGGCGTATCAAATTGTTTCGCGCGGGTAGTCGCTAACAATTAAAAAAGGGATCAGATGATTGTATAAGGAACAGACCTTTTGAGACAAAGTCCCCAAAAGGGGTGTTTTATTGGCGATGCTTTACAATTGGAAATAAACAGAATGCCTCCAAGGGGCGCAAGCACACGAGTACTAAAAGAAGTGTTTAAATTTAAGCTAAGAAATTAAAATTACATATTCTCTGTTTGAGAGTGTTTTTTATTCCCTTTTTTCTCTAAGTCTTCTCTTCCTTTTTATATTCTTTTGATGATTTCCTCGTGACAAACCACTTGGAAATTGCTTGATCGCTTTATAACTACCCACTTTTTTATGGTGGCTAACTTGTCGTGAAACTGCCGTCTCTAATTGCTGCCATTACTCCTTGTCGTTCAACCTCCTTCAATTGGGCTCCTTGAATCGTGGAATGTGATAAAATTACTCAATAACTGCTTCAATAACTACTATTCTGGATAACCATAATATTTTATGTTTGCTAAGATTTTGGGCGAGAACGGAGTCATCGCTCTGGGCGACCGTAAGGTACTCCATTCGCTCAGATTCTGGGCGTCTTGCAAGTTTGGGCGATGATGTTACTGTGTTCGTGGGCTTCCACTACATTCATCAATAATCCTGTTTGGACCTTTATCCTAGACTCCCCAATTGGACTTCACTCTTTGGGCTATTTGATTTGAGCTGCACTTTTAGTGTGTCAACAATACTATTTATTTTATTTAAACCGTTTAACCTTATTCATGCTTTTTATGTCTCCGTCTTTGACCTAGTGACAGGGAATGACAATGCCCTTATCATTTTTATTAATAAGAAAATCAAGCACAAGTAGGAGGTGAACGCAACAGTCCTACGTATTTAAAAGAAACCGCTCCCTTCCTCCCCCCCCCCCCTTTTTTTTAAGTGCTACTTATAGGTAAACTCAAATGCCCTCAATATTTTGTTGGGTTTATAGAGATTACCCGAACATGGTCCCTAACTTTTCTGTGTACATAATCCTTGATACCTCACTCACATAAAGAGGGCCCATTCATAATTTATTATGCGTAGGTCCTTTCCATGTGAAGAGATGTCATCTATTATGTACACAAAAAGTGTATAATTAATATTATCCGGACTTTGTTACATGTACATCAAATTTTACATAATGGGTTATATAATGCCACATGTCATAATATCATTTGTCAAGTTTAAAGCATAATCAACTTTTGCATTCAATCTTTTTTCTTCACATTCTTTTATGCAATTCCTTGTGTATATTTTTTATGTACAAATAACATAATTCATTTTAAAGTAGGAGATAAAGGGTCCTATATGGACCCTAACATTGAAAGTAGGAGACAAAGGGTCATAGCTGCCAATAGGGTATGTCTAAAATTCAACAGGGTGAACTTCACACTAATAATTCATTATTCACACGTTTTGCTAATATTAATTATGTTTGCCTTCTCATAAAGGAAGACATATTCTATTCCAAAAGCAAACATTTCATGTTCATGTCCTTATATTCTATCTCCACTTCTTTTCCATTTCCAGGCCAGAATATAATCTTCTTCCCTGTACAGTTACTTGGATCATTTTAGGGTTTCTGTTTCTGTATATGGGGGCTGGTTTTTCTAGTTTAGCAACTGAGAAAAAGACTGTAACTCATCCCTCAAACCCTAATATAAGTGACTTACCAGAGAGCTGTATTGCTTCAATTCTTTCTTGTTTGGAGCCTTCAGAGATCTGTAAATTAGCACGTTTGAATAAAACATTCCACCAGGCTTCACTAGCTGATGTTGTTTGGGCGTCGAAGTTGCCTGAAAATCATGAAATTCTTGTGAAAAAGCTGTTCAGTGAAGAGGGATCCTCAGAGAGCTTATCCAAGAAAGAAATATTCTCCAGATTGTGTCGTCCCATTCCCTTTTCTGGCGACACCAAGGTAAGGTCTACTAAATCTAGAGTATAAACGAGCATATCTACATGATATAATTCAACATGACTTACTTTAAAAAAGTGAACACGATGTAAAGTCTTTATTTATTATCTTGACAGGAAGTTTGGCTGGAAAATAGTAGTAGAGGGATTTGTGTTGCCATTTCGTGGAAGGGATTGAAAATTACAGGAATAGATGATAGGAGATATTGGACTCATATCTCCACAGATGAATCCAGGTTAGATTTATTGATTATCCAAGCTTTTGGATTGCAATAATCGATAGCTCTTGATCAAACGTGAAAAATGATTGACCTAGTCGATCCAAAATTATCTGTTTACATAAAAATTCAGTCTGGTTTGGAAATAGGATGGTGATAAAATTGAATTTAACAGCAAAATAGAAAAGTCCAATTGCTATATATTATTGTTATTTGCCAAAAAAGTCTATATCTTGTGCAAGTTAGAGATTTATTGACAACTTGAAAGCCCTGTGATCCTTTGAAAACTTATAAGTGCACGGGTTCGTGATCAAATAATATAATGATGAATTAAGTGTTGAAGCCACGAAAACTATGTATTTGATTGAGTTAAAACTATTAATACCCTTAATCGAATAGCAATATTGAGTTGTAACAAATCAATGTCCAATTTATCAACTAACTCATAAGCAAAGTAATTCAAATTTGTGAGACGTATTGCTCACGTGTTGAATCCCCCTGTTAACCCATTTTTAATTCAACAATTTAAAATGACATTTTGTTATCATTCTTGTTGATCAATGTTTATGTTTTAATTAAGGACCGAGCTCCATATATAGGAGCTCGGTTCACAGGGGGCTGCTAGGCCCTCACTATAGGGGTCGGGCCCCACAAGCATTTAAAAAAAAGAAAAGAAAAGGTGGAGCTCGTCCCTACCTCCTCTCTCACCTGGCATGGCCTGCCTCCCATATTTTTCCTTTAATTAAAAGTTTCTCTCCATAGTAATTAAATCTAATTCTACATATGACATTCCTATATATCTATGAAAGATATGAACACGCAAGAAAGTATTAAACGAGTTAGAACATCTATAGAAGCTATGTGAAGCATAGAAGTATATTTTTATTCTCTATTAAACCTCACAATGCTTATTATTATGTGATAACGATCATATTATCTCTTTCTATGACAATAGAACCCACAGGCAATTCAACTAATGACCAATTAATTGAAAAGCAAGCTTAATCATAATAAACATTCAAACAAATTAACATCAATCCAATTATTTAGGCCTTGTTTGAGCCCCATTTTAGGGGAGAAAATGAATTTTTGAATAATGTATTGATGAAAAATGTGTAGTTAAAAAATAAGTAAAAGTTTTGAATTTGCGTGTAATATTATTTTATTAAAGAATGTGTGGTTGAAATGATGTTAAAACATTGTTTAAGAATGTATTTTTTTTGGAAAAAATGGGGCTCAAACAAGGGCTTTATCCAAAAATCTTATGACAATAGTTCATCTCATCCTAACAATGTAAAAATCTAGCCGAGCATATAGAAATTATAAGAAATCATTCTAGATTTGACAATACTTCTTATCCACAAACTGTTCCTAGTGTGGCATGCCTCCCTCAAATATGAATAAGTAATCCGTCCCAAGATATCATTTCTAATATATCCACGGGGCAAGCTAAACATCACCCGAAAATTAAATAATCGAGGAGAAGTCTTGAATTCTTGAAGGACTACGATGAATTCTTGATATATCTTGAATTTTCCTTCCAATTCTTGTTCGAATTTCCTAGTACAAATTCTACTCTATAATCTTCTTACAATTCCACAATTGAAATTTTTCACAAATATAAATTTACCCTCTACTAATTTATTTCTCTAATAATCTTGATGTTCTTGAGTTGATTTTTTTGCATAAAAGAGGCTCCCCTTGTTTTGCCCAGTTGAATTTTAATCATACAAGGAAACCCGAGATTCGACTGACTTTTATAACTATACGACCGCATAGTTCAATGGAATGCGGTCGCATAGTTCAAATGTTGAACTCCATATTTTTTTTTTTTTGCATAATACTATGCGATGGCAGTGCAATTTTTTGCTGCCTTCCACATTCTTTCACGTTTTGGTCCCAAACTTCTACGCATTGTCTTATTCCTCTTTTCGCCTATATTTTCACCCATATTTTCACCCTCTTAGCTTCCAAGTGCATCCAGTTGAATTCCTAACATCTTCGATCTTCAATTCACAGTCGAATTCAACTATTGAATTGTTGCAACTTGGATCCCATCTTCTGTATTTCACTCTTTTTTTAGGACTTTTCCTTTATTTCTTCCAATTTGTTGTTCAACGATTGAGTTTTGCCTATTTTTACAAAATACAACAATTTAGAATATGTTTCATCAAAAGAACAACTAAATATCTCCATTTTAGACCCTGAATAAGTGTGTAAAACACACTTATCACTCTATGTGTTACATCCTCTTCTGTTCAATAAGTCATTTTTGTTGATAATTTTGTTCCCTTGTGGTCATTCAATGATCCTTGAAAATGTACAGATTTCATACAATTGCTTATCTTCAGCAAATGTGGTGGCTAGAAGTGGAAGGCAACCTTGAATTCGAGTTTCCGGCCGGAAATTACAGCCTGTTTTTCCGATTGCAGCTCGGGAGAGCTTCAAAAAGACGTGGCAGTCGGCGAATCATCAATAATTTAGAACAAGTCCATGGCTGGAATAAGCCTGTCCAGTTCCAATTAGCATCATCAAATGGCGAGCATGTGGCATCAAAGTGTTATTTGAATGAGGCTGCAGGGAAATGGATGCACTATCATGTAGGAGATTTTGTTGTTGAGAATTCTTACATCCCAACAAAACTCAACTTTTCAATGGCTCAAATTGATTGCACGCACACAAAGGCTGGGCTTTGCTTGGACTCAGTGTTCATATTCCCAATTGAGACCGTGAACAAGTTAAAACAATTTTAGTGCTGTCTTTGACTGACAAAGAAGTTCCACTATACATTCGAGTTAAATGGTCGATGAATTCTTACTGGTTGAATGAATGTGACAAAGTCGAGAATGGCTTTTGTAGATAAAAAGATTCTCTTTTATTTGAGTTGACCCACAATAGAGCTTTTCACCGAAAGGAAGTTAACTTTTGACAGTGAGTCCCATATGAGGAAGTTGGCTCTTGGGATATGTTGTGTATCAATAAAGGCTTAAAATGTATTCTTCAGCTTGTACTAACATGGATGTAATCTGCAAGGAACTTGTACAAAATGTAAAACAAAAAAATTACGAACTCAAAACTTGTGGGGAAGGATATTCAAGATGCTTTTAAACTCTTTTGAGTCGATTTATGATTGATGGTAGTGAATTTATGCGGTGTATTTACTATATTGCCTGATGGACGGAGTCTTAGATATGATAAAGAGAGGCGGGGTGGGGTGGGGGAAGAAGATAAGTAGAATCCAATTCATGTTCACAGTTCATACTAATACGAAGGATATGTTTTTGTTGAAGTTCCGTGAAAGCTTCAAAGAGTTTATGGCATATCTTATGCAGACAAGAAACGACTGAAGGTGACTTTCTTCGTTTTTAATTATTTCCCTTTCCTGAATATGATTCTTTCTTGCAGCGTATCTTTTCATTATTGGGTTAATGACCTGAGGAGATGATTCAATTCACTGGATGGTGTAATTATTAAAAAGCTTTTGACTATCTATTAAGAAGTAGCCAAATGTATCTTTCTGCAAAACTAACATTTATCATCAGTAATTCCTCAATTTTTTGATGTCATTCCACAATTCATTGATGTCATGAGAGTTGGCTTCAATTGCAACTGAAATTTTAAACCTTCTATGATTAGTGTCCATAAAGTAATTCCTTGACTTTTTGTACGTTCTGTATGATGGCTGGTAGGTTTGGGTTGTTTAATTGCAGAGAAAATCGAAATAAGTTGTTTATCATCGTTGAGCACGATCAGTGGTCGTGATATCATGCTTTAAGGGCAACTCTTACAGGATACAAGGCCATGCTGGACGAAGCAAAGAAATATGACCATCAAGTAGTATTTTGACCACAGAGAACTACAAGGAAAATATGTTTGTCTTTGAGGTTAAAATACTACCTGATGTCGAGATTCTGACGACTATATATCTGATTTACTCTGTTAGATGTCTAGATAATCTCGAAATGAATAGAAAATGTACGGAATTTACACGGGCAGTTTCAATTAAAAAATAGTTATATATTACCGAATGTATATTATTCTTTCATTGTGATGAAATGGCACGTGTGGGTTCTCTTGCAGGTTGAGAAACAAGAATTTGGACTTAAGCCAATGAATTATCCTGGCCACTGTTTAATATTTGATCATGGAATCGTTCATTCCAGGGTGAGCCTGAATGTGCCATGAGCTTTGCTGTATATTTGATTGAAATCTATGAGGGATGATGTCACCTTTTGTTGCCTTCGGCGAGGAAAAAGTTCAAAACAAGACACGCTTTGGCATATTGATATAGTTGGAAGTAAAGGATTAAAATCATACCCGATGCCCACAATTGGGCTCTACTGTTTCCTTTTTTTCTCACTGGGATGACTGACTTTGCATCAATATCAAGTTTAACGATGCTAATTCCTCTTAGATGTGGGTTTGGTATTTTTCCAGAAAAAAGTTTTGGACAACCCGAAATGCTGTGACAGTACAAGTGTCATTATCCTTGTCTTTACCAGTGTAAATAAATATATATTGGCATTGAAAAGGTGCTAATAAATGTAAATGCAAGCTTGTGACGTACAAAAGAAACAGTTTCCCAACAATTAATGTTCTGCTCTTTGTTTGGCACAATCTTGGAGTACTGCTTCTGGATCTCGTCAAATTCTGTGTCAATCATCTTTTATGCCTTTATTAATAGTAGGTGCTGTAATGAATTTTCTTTGTGAAGTTCTTACCCGCTTGACTTCTTATAGGTCGCCGAGCGAGTGAGAGACAATAATGATTCTATCGTGAAGAGTGTTGAGGAACTGTTAAAAGACTTCCAATGATGCAGTGGCAGCCTTCCGGTAGCAGTCTATAGTTTTACAGGACTGTATATTGGAAAGCATAACCTACGAGTGATTTTAAAATTTGATGTTTTAATGGAAGCAAAAAATGAAAATTCAAGAGAAAGAACATGGAAACCACTCATTTCTTCATTTTTTTCGTGTTGATGTTACAACTTAACAATACATTGAATTAAATTTGCTAAACCCAATTTCGTTTTTACTTGGCAAAAGCAATGTTTTCTTGCATCCATCTGGGCCTTGGAGTGCTTTTCTGCTTACTCGTTTCTTCTGTCTTGCAAGTTATGAATCTTATAATGCGTCTCGGGTTAGTTTGCTACTTAACCGGTAAATACTTTGTATGCCAAGAATTTGTACATTTTGAAATTCTAAGATGCCCTCCCATGAGAAGAAAATTACCAGGAACAAGATTAAGAAGGCAGAACCATCAAATTTTATTCAGTTAGAAGAAAGATGCAAATATCATGTTAACATCAATTTATAACATCCTCAAATTCATGTCAATAGATTACACTTGCTAGAAGCTTAGAACCCAGAAGAAAAGATGACACTAAAACAAACACCAATTGAACTACAAACAAAAGCAGCTACAATATAGTTGAGAGGAAGAAACAAAAACAAAATGATTAAATAACCAAACATCTGTACATAGTTATATGCCAGGTTCCCTTCCCCGAATCTAGCAATAGAGCTATGTTATTTCCACATATAGTTTATGCTGTCATCAATATCATTGTTAAAAAATCCATTTTCCATGGACTCGTGGGCAATTTCTTGTACCATTTCCTCTGATAAATGAAGATTCTGTGGCAAATCTGATGGTTTATGGGTAAATGAGAACTCATTATTTGAAGCAGACTGGAAACTGTTGCTTCTGCTTGGTGGGTGTCCAACAACATTGCCTTGTCCATTTGCAGCAGGAGTAGTTGCTGCTGAAGGGCCCTGAATCGAAAGGGACTGCTGTTGAACTCCGCCCCCACCATTGTTATTGTTCATATGCTGCAATAATTGCTGGATCGTTTGCTGTTGTGACATTTGGCTCCTGTGAGAGGGCTGGGGTTGATTTTGTAGTAATAAACCATTACAACTTAATGAACGCTGCAGCCCTTGCTGCTGCTGTGGTACATGGGAACTCGAGAAGCCACCGCCCGGTGCATTTTGCAACCCAGAAATTGATGAAGTCGGATATTGGCTAGAATAACTGAACGAAGAAGATGCCTCCTGCTGAATTGAATTGTGGGTTGAATTTATTGAGTTTTGTCTCATCAGCAAATTTTGATAGTCTGTCAATGCAAGAGCAGCCTGTGCTGAGCCACTCAAAGCTCCTCGAGCAACCATATGTTTGTTATTATTCATTTGACTGTTGGTCCCTGGATTCAATGCCATTACCTTATTTAGTGCATTGGAATCAGATGGCATACCCTGAACACCTCCCATCTGCTCCATCTCTTGCATCTCGATCTTCGGCACAGTGGTGTGTCGTGGAAAATTTTTCAAGCCCTCTGTAAATGAACATTGCTGTTAGATTATGCTGAATCGTATAATATGGCCATCCAGACATTATTTTGTGCTCTTAAAACATGGATAAATTGGGTTCAAGAAGACTACATCTTTAGTAACACTCAAGCTACAAAAAAGCACGTCTTTGTGTTGATCTATGCATTCAATAAATCCCATCAATATTCCATTATACATGCAAATTTTGCAAGTGGATCGTGGGTTATTTGAGGAAAAGTTCCATTCGCGGTGGCTATCTTTCGTATCAATCAAGTAACTTTAATTTGATTTGATTTCAATTAGGTAGCTACAATTCAATTTGATTTCAATTACAGCAACTTTGTCCAATTCCATTGACAAAAACCTATGATATGACCGTCAAAAGATGATGGTCACTACACACAACTGTTAGTTGTTGAAGTATGTACAAATATGGTAGGTAATATAAATGATGAGATTCATTTATTGACCATCAGTTCATCGATTTTCGTCAATCTAAATGAAGGAATTGGATAGAATAACTCGATTGAAATCAAATTAAAGTATAGCAACCCAATTGAACAAAATAGAATTACAATTACCTGAATGACACTAGACTAAAGTATAGTTACCGCGAATGAAATAACCCCGTTATTTGAGTGTGAAACCAGTAGGAACAGTAATTACCAATTGGCCCAACTTTTTGTTCTCTGCAGAAATCCATCAGTTTTTTCATGCTATTGACAACCTCAGCAATCTGTTCACAGCAAACAACTATGAGACACCTTGGAGAAAAGTTTGAACAACAGGCCAATGCATGTCAAAAGGTCTATAAAAGATCAAAACGTGCCTGAAGGCACCGAACATATCGTTTGGAAAATCCCAAGTCATTAAGCGATTGTAGCTCCAAACTCTTAGCAAGCTGACGTCCAGCCGTTACAACCCTGGAAAAAGTAGGTATCGAAATGGTTTCATACAAGAAATGTATAAGAAGTCACAAACAGCTTTTACGTCAAAACATGATTTTCAATTCAGCAAGTTGAGTGCATAATTATGAAGCTAGGGACCAAATTATAACAGAAAACAGCAAGCTAGGAGTTTCTTCAGGGATTACAAAGGTACTTATGTCCTCCCTGAACCTCTGTAAATGCGAAAGCACTTGAGGACTGCAATACAAGGCTAACAAAACAAATTCCTGAACCCTCATAAATTGGATTTTGTTATTTAAATACTAAGGCGATAAATCTTCTTGATTCTTTGCTTTTCAATAAACTATAAAACATGATACGTAAACTCGAAAGGCATTGCTGTGCTCGCAGCCCCTTTAAAGCGAACAGATGGTCACAATAATAAAAACGTAAGGGGTCAATATAAAATTCAGCATAAAATAAACACCATATAAACTAATAAATGCGATTTTTTGACATTCCAAGTCTGGAGGTAATTAGTTATTCTTAGATTTCTTAACCCTATAGATGTATTAAGAGCGCCAAAGCAAGACCCAGAGAAAATATTCCATCGTAGAATACACAACGAGAATTGAAACATAAAAGCTGTGACGTTAAACATAGACCGCTAAAAATTTAAACGATTAAAATTGACAACAAAATTAATAGCAAGAGAATGGACAATCATGATGAACTTTAAAGTCCAGTTCAAAGGTCTAGCAAAAGAAGTCTGCCGAGTTCCTAAATGCCATGGACAATGAACTTTCAGGACGACTAATTTTGCTCATTCCAATGACGAATTTTATTACACTTAATTAATCAGCAAGCAGGATATTGCTTTTCATTTGCAGATATTGAACTAAAAGGGGGAGTAAAGGAAACAAATGAATTGGTCTAAAGTAAAAAAGAAATTGCGGACTAGCAGAATAGAATTTTTTTTCACTCACATAACACTGTTTGCCTGTAAATCAGGCTGAGAAATGCCATCAGGTCCACTTTCAGAAATTGTGCTTTGGCATTTCTGGGCAACCTGCAGCAATTGATTTACCTGCAGGAGAAGTGCGTTTTAGAAGTTCTACATACACAACGTAACATGCTGTACTTGTATCAATAAAATTTATGCTAAACAAGTGACATATTTGGCCCACTAAAAAGTGTTGCTTTAAGCTTGTAGTTCTCTATATCTCAAACCTAGTCTTTCCATTTTTAATGAACAAAACAAAAATGAGTCAATAGTTTTAGAACTTCTATATTGAAACTGTGACATCCCCAATCACTACCATGCCATTTTACTGAATGGTGCACGGAATTAGCCAGGCTAGCACGAGCAGGGTATTGATTCAACCAATGCAGCATTTAGTATCAAAATTCCTCCTTGACTGAATGAGGGAAAGAATAATGGGTTAAGTATTTCTTTTTTTCGAAAAAAAACTAAAAATTTAAAGTCCATCTAAGCACTAAAAAATCAAAATCCATCTCAGAATGAAATTTTTAGACTCAATAAATAAACTTAATAAAGATGCAATTGGAAAAGACACATTATGCCCTTGTTTGAGCCCCATTTTGTGAGAAATTATATTATCAACCAGCAAACAGTCAGTCAAGGATGCATTTACCTGTGGCGCAACCAATCTACGACAAAGAAGTTCCTCATGACGCTGTGCACAAAATTCCCAAGATAATATCTGAACAAGATATGCAATTGGTCAAAGATCAAAGCAATAAGTGCATAGCAGTAACAGTGCTTCCTAGTGATCAGCATTTACAGATTACCTTCAAATCAGGGCTGAAAATGATACGAAGATGACCCTCGCGAACCACACGGAGTTGCTCATATATGCTTTCTTGAACTGCCTTTGCATACTCAAGCATCATCATTCCTGAAGGAAATCTATATTCACGAGGCAAGTCCAAAAACAAGAGCTCATCGATGACACCACTGCCAAATTTGATTTCATTAAGTCTGGGGAGCACTTCAACAGTTGCCTCTGTTAAAACCCACAGAACAAGTTCGAACATGAGCTAACTTGACTATTAAACATTTAGCTTCAGCAAACTCTAAAGCCTAAAGCAAGGCCATTTCAGAGCCCTTAGTATCATTCTTTCACTTCACCCCCACATGATTGGTGTAAATATGAGCCATAAATAAAAGGAAAGAAAAATCACTGGGACAACTTAAATTTTGGGGAAAGAAAAAAAAATTACATAACAGATGATTTCTCTAATTTTGAGCATCTATTACACGATCTTCCTGAGAAAGAAGAATTATATGCATGAGAAAACCGTAACAGTATGGTAGAACAGGAGATAAAGCAATAATGTTAGAACTGTTCGAGACAAAGTGAAGTATGAAAACAAGACATCGTAGAATAGGTAATGTAAATAAGAAAAGAAATAGAGACGTCCCAGACATTTTCAACAGTTATCAAATTATACTTTACCCTTGGTAAATGAAACCACTGGTCCAAGAATCATTCTTTAGAACTTGTCCACCTTACCGACAAGCACCTATCTTACAGAATCCTGATAGAACTTCATTTCATCAGATTCACTCTAATATTATGTATCACGTCGTCCTCAAATCCTGTTTCCTTCTTACTAATCAAACTACTACCTAAAAACTCCATATTTGGGAAAGTGCAATCCTCTTTAATACTCAAGTATCCACTTCCTATTATGACTAAAAGAGCATTCTATTATTTTACAATTAGTTCTAGTTAACCTAAAGATCTTTAGGATTCAAAGAACTCCAAAGTTCTATCTAACAATTTATAGTCTCATCTACTAAAACCATGACATCACAGAATAACATACTCTGGGAAACCAACTATTGGATTCTTGGCTATATCTTGTAAGCTCATCCAAGAGAAAAACAGATAGTCAAATACATAGAGCCTTAAGCATAACCTTGATGTGAATCTAGAGTGATACGAGCAGTGTTCTAAAAAGCGCACCATCGGGCTTAATGCCAAGTCTTGATAGTAAGAGCAAAATTAAGAAGTCAACTACCAAGTTGATCGATTGATGCATGGCTAGGTGCACTTTATTAAGTATTTTAATTTTTTTCCCTCTTTTAAATGCTATTTATTTTACTGTAGTTTCAAGTTTTTCCTTTGAAAATTGTATAATTGACTAATTATAAGAATCGTTAAGTAAATATAGTATTTTATAATTTTAGATGCTTGGTATGCATTATTTTAATTTTTAAATGATGCTTAGAATGATTCAAAATTTGAAGTAATATTAAAATTAAGAAAACTTTTTTTACACCTAGGCCTCGTAAAGCTCGATGCTAGGCCACGATTAGTTACGATTTACGCTTTTTAGAACACTAGATAAAAGATTCTCTCCTACTACTGGGAATACACCTCACCTTGGCAACTGCTCATCACACATCCTCAAATGAACAATATCAACACATCATTGATTAATCAACAAATCATCAATTAAAAGAAACTGTTTCAATGATCAAGCTACACTCCACAATATCTTACATCATGAATTCTAGGCAGTTATCAGCCTTTCTTGGAATGATCAAACAAGGCTTAGCGATAACTTCACAATTTCTGATATTTGGAAAAATAAAAGGAACCCTTAAACTACCTCAAGAGTTTCACTAGAATTTGATACCATACATTCTAAAATTGCTGCCAATTCAGTATTTCATCATTTACAGTAATCAATACACAGCATACTATAAGAAATGAGCCAATTATAAGCTGATTAAACTCTATTTTAACCACAATTCGTGCCCACAACTTTTACCAACTTTTTAACCCCACATTCCTTGGGATCCACTGCTTATTAGCAATTATAAACTTGGACAAACATGAATTGAATCTTCCCCAAGGAATAGACAAGTAATGTGCAACTTAATAGGAAACCCATATTCTCCTTCCCCATTAAGAATTTTAGTCAGATAAATGGAAGAGTAAAATATAGAAAAAATATTAAATAACATAGTCTAGATGTATATTACAGTGGCACATCACAATTGACATCTGTCACGATTGGACAAACGAACACAAAATCAGAAATAAAGAATTTCAAAACAAAAAACACAACTCACCAAATCCCCTCCCAGATTTTGAACCACAAATGTCACACTGCCATGCATCCTGACAAAAAAGAAACAACAAGAGCAGGTTATGAAATTATGCATTTGAAAAGTGCCAGCTTTGAACAAACTATAGCGGCAAATCAGATATTGCAAAAATTGATGAAAATCAAATCCATCCAATTCCTGGAGAAAAGATTTATCATGAATTGAGTAAAATTGACTACTATCCAAAATGATTAGTCAATTACCATTGCTGCCTGCGGAAATACCCCAAGCGAATGATTCCCAACATTATTGTACAAGGATAGACACCACCTCTTCTTCGCACGTGGGGAGTAGTACTCAGCAACAAATTTTTTCCAATAGGCAATAGTGTTATCCTACAAGGTGTGGGGTACATAAATAACTATCATGTGGTAACAAAAATTCCAACCCTACATTGGAATTAAAAAAGGAAAAAAGATAAGTCAAAACATATGATTTTTATAAGTTTCTGTCAGATGATAACAAATAAAGAAAAAAAATATATGATCTGGACAAAACATTGTTACTAGATCTAGTAACATACTCACAGGAGGTCTCTGTCTCTGATGATACAGGTATTGCATTAGCCGACGTGAGCATACACCACCATCATAAGGGCGCTTCACGGAAGATGCGGGCTGCATTCCCTGTTGTTGAAGCTGCTGTCTTAGCTGCAGCTGCTGCTGCTGTTGCTGTTGCTGTTGCTGCAAAAACTGAACCCTCTGCATTGGTGGCATGGACTGTAGGAGCTGTTGCTGTTGCTGTTGCCGTAGTCTCTGCTGCTGAATCAAAGCTTGCAACTGTGGGTTTGAGTTTTGTAAGTGCATTGAATCTTGTCTCTGCAACAGTTGCTGCAGAGCCTGTTGTTGTAGAATATCTTCCTGCTTGATGTCCAAGCGAGGTTTCTTTTGTAGCTGAGACATAATAGTGGGATCCTGAATTATGGAACTAAGGACCTTTGGAACACCAGGAAGCTGAACTTGCCCCATCCCTGATGTAGGCAAAGATGTCGCATTTGAAGCTCCCTGATGCTGCTGACTTTGCTGGGCTTGTTGAGAGTTTGAGTTTTGATTAGAACCTGGCAGCCCAATAGAGGATCCGTCTACGACAGAAGAGCTAGAGATGCTAATGTTATTAGATGAGAATGACATTGGTGATGCAGGTAGGCGCATATAAGATTCCTTATTGATGCTGGCACTTCTCTGCAGAAGGGGACCCCCTGAAAGTCCTGAGTTGGCATCAGTGACCAAAGAATTTGCCCCAACACTTGGTCCAGAGCTTGCCACACCATTTAAGACTGTGTTGCCAACACCCCCAGAAACTGGACCCATGTTGGGACATGCATTTCCGGGTATTGAATTCGACAAGTTATTGAAATTTGAATTCAACTGAGAACTCCCTGCAACCTGGGATCTCCCATCTCCTTGGGAAAGCATTCCGGATCTCAAAGAAGAATGATTCATTCCTCCAGCCACGTGAGAGGGCATCATAGGAGATACTGCTGCCTGGGGCTGGGATCCAAATAGCTATCCAGTGCCAACCGTTTACAACTTAATGTACATAAAAGGGGACTTAACGCTGGCTGTACTTGAGGAAAACTTAACATCAAACTACCCTTCTTCAAACTAAAATATTCCAAATAGAATTCAACACAATAGAACTTCTTCAATTCGTTTCCTCATGAATTTATCACATAACCCAATACTTTTTAGCCTCAATAACATGCAATCTAAAAGAAAAATTATGAAAGATTCTACAAAACAACAAGCAGACAGAAATGTGAGTAGAGCAAAAACTTGGCAAAGAAAAAGTATGACATTTACAATATATAAAACAAAATTAAATCTGAACAAGCATATTGCAGTTTTAAACTATCAGAAAGTTTCAAAAATACACTCATGGCAATAGTTACACCAAAATCCACATTCCCCGATGATGTTCACAAAACCCTAATTTTGAACCACCGAGTCCTGAGCTTAAATTCTTCCTAAGTAAAGCACTGTTCTTTACCAAATATGAGTCAAAATAAAGACAACACCTGATTAAATCAACTAATAACTAAATTATTACCGATCCAAGTAGCAAATAAAATCTCAGCTCAATCACACCCACCCGATCAAAAGTGCGATCAAACCCATTATAACTTAAATTAACTAAATTTACAAATTAATCAGAGCCTAACAGCTAAAAAACCCAGGCTAACCTTTTGATTGGTACCACTTTACACCTAACATCAGTTTGAAACAAAGATCGAAAATTTGCAACGAACTGAAAAAAAAATGTGTAAGAATGCAGGAAACTAAAGCTCTATACTTGCTATAAATGGAAAATATTTAAAATGTTTTCCCACTAAAGATAATTTACTGAAGAGTAAAAGAGGAAAAATTTCAAACCTGGAAATAAAGTAAATTGACAAGGAGAATTTGCAGAAGAAAAAAAGAACAAAAACAAAAAAGCAACATTGGTAGGCTGATTCGATTTTAATGGGAATTGGAGGGGGTTGTGACCGAATGCAGCCGGTGGAGGATACAGGATGACTGGATACAGCCGGTTTTTAAGGACACGTGTCAAGTGATTTATTGGATACTTCACAATCTGTGTAAAATCGCCGGCGGCCACACGAGGTTGTAGGTACGTGGCAATATTCTATTGGAAGTGACCTTAACAGTGTAGGTCTGGTAGAGGTTGTAATCCGTACATGCGTCACAGGTGAGCAAACCCAATCATCAACCTTCTTTCCCCCAATTTCTTTCACAAATTACCCATTAAAAAAAATCCCAAACAGCAAAACAAAATGAGTGTCAATCTCTCGCAAATTTCGTTATTTCGGTTAGAATTCGCGCCACCCAAATCTAATCTTCCCTCAAAATCTCACTTCAACATCTATACAAAATCACCACTCACAAGACTTTCTTGCGCTCGTCTTCCCCAGAACACCCCACCTCCACAGCAGCTCAATCTCTCTGTTCTTCGCTTCACACTCGGTACGTGTGCTTGTGTATGTGTACGCGTCTAATCAATACAAAGCATAGTTTGTGATAATCAGGATGCCCTACCACATACCGCCTTAACTTAAAGAACTGACATTTAGGATATAGTTTTGCATCTACATTGTATATATTTGTAAAAATGTGATATTTTCTGGATTGTTTTTGAAGGGATACCTGGTTTGGATGAATCATATTTACCCAGATACATTGGCTATACATTTGGGGCGCTTTTGATGTTAAATCATTTTGTGGGCTCAGATTTGTCTTCAATTACTTCAGCTCAGCTTGTAAGTAATTTCCTTTCAAAAGTTCTGCTCAATTTAGTTGTTAAATTAGTAGTGTGTTTTGATTTGTTACTTATTTTTGTTGGAATTTTGTATATGAAATTGTTTTTAACCAATTCTTGAATGATGTTGCTATTTAAAAAATTACTTACAATATTATGGAATATGCTAGAAATTATTTGACTGAAAAAGGTATCTCTCAATATAAAAGATTGTGACATTTGGCATTATCATTTTTCAAGAGATCGTCTCTTCAAATATAGAGACTAATTTCAATAAATGTGTCTCTTCCATAAATTTTTTTTAAGACAAACATCTTCAACATTTATACATAGACCCCATGTGTTAGTTTTCATTCATTCATTCACTTCATAATTGTATTATCATATTAATATATATTCACTTCAAAATTATATATTTATTTGGAGTCAACTTTCATAAAGAGGGTTCAGAACATAAGTAGTTTCGTTGGTTTATATAATTTGGAGTGCTTTTATTGGGAGACGTGATCGTTGTATCTTGGAAGACAAATGCTGGAAAATCGTTAACACCAGTGCGGGGCAATTATTATATTAAGGATAAAGAGTCAAACTTTTACCATGATCAAATTCATATTCATGCATTTCTCTTTTTTACTTTACGTATTTGATTTTGTTAAGCCAAAATTCTATCCGATTTTATGTACATAAAATGTATGTTCTTTAAATATAATTTATGCACGTCTAATTTTTCCAACAATCTTAAGACGATAATTATTTAATGTGCATATTATATTTTATTTGCAATAGAAATCAAGATATTTCAAGAATAAAATTCATAAGACGAATTTCTTTGATGTATCATGATTGTGGTAAATATATTCTATTAGAGGTGGCTCGGCTCGGCCCTTAATCCCAAGAGCTCAGCTCGCGCTCGTGGCGAGCCAAGCTCGGGCTCGGCTCGTTGAAATTGGGCGAGCGGCTCGGCCCACGAGCTCGTGGGCTTGTATTTTTTTTTTTTAAAGTGTTAAAGTGTTAAAAAATTATGATTTCTTGACCATATAAAAAGTGTTAAAAAATAAAAATAATTTAACAAAAACAATTTTTTATTTTTTTTAGTTATATCATATGATTCATATTGTAATACTTTTTATAAAGTATAAAATATTTATATAATGAAGACGAATTATTTTTTGAAATACATTTATAAAAAATATTTTTTTTTTTATTTCTTTTTAAAGTTAATAAAATATAAACCCTCCTCTTTTATCCGGGTTTGAGACCAGTTACATCAATTTTAAGAAGGCGGAGTTAAAAATTATATACGAACTTGTTGTAATGTGTACAATTTTTTAAAGAAAATTAAATTTAACGATTAAAAAATAATGAAATTTTGATTAATATAATTAAATCAAACATCACTTACCTGACGATAGACAATTTCAACGTATTTATCTTGTAGTCGAAAATGAGCGTCCTGCCAATCCTTCACGCACATTAAGGCTTCCAAAACATCTTCTTTCAGTCGGCTCCTAATATCGGTCAAAACCCTTTTACCTGCACTAAAAGCAGACTCCGAAACAACAGTGCTAACAGGAGGTGTCAGCAGATCTTTCGCAATTGCAGAAACAATTAGCCAACGTCTTTCATACTTTCGCCAAAATTCAATTACTTTTTCTGAACTTTTTTTAATTGTTCTGTCTGTTGGCATATTATGATTGAAGTAATCAATTAATTCGATAAGCATCGTATTTTGAGTTTCGACCGATGTTTGATGAGATACAAATGTAGATGACATGGCACTAGATGAACACATTGCAGTTGTATCATATCTAAATGTATTAATGACTTGAAATAAATTCATTATTTCCGCAGCATCTTCTTCAGTTTCAGCAGAAGGAGTAGGTGCAGCAGAGAGTACTCGACTAACATTCGTACCCATGTTTTCCACATATAATACATACTTTTAACATAATGTTTGCTCTAAATTCTTATAAGTGATAGGTGTATCAAGTATTAAAACTTTATTGATTTGATTAATTACGTATTTAGTTCCCGAAATATTATATCGGGGGTCCATTGTGCATGCTAAAGGAAATAACATAGGCAGTTCTTCCCAATATTTTCTAAACTTTAATTCCATAGCAATTAAAATTTCACTAAAAACATGATCATTTTTATATTTATGAAATGTTCTTACAATTATATAAAAACGTTCAAACACCATACAGCTTGTGGGATAATAAACGCCGGATAAAATCTTTGTAGTCTCATAAAAAGATGTCAAAAATCGTTTAACTTTCAAAGCTAAAATCCAATCGGATTCAATTATCATACCATCGTCATCACTTCTAACATGTCTATTATTATAAAAGTCAGTTATTAAATTTTCGAAACCTTCACATGATTTTAATAACAAGTATGTAGAATTTCATCTATGACCTACGTCGCTAACAAATGTTTTAGCAGTTGTCACTCCTAGTTCGGCACAAAAATCTTTAAATACTTGTTTTCTACTAGGAGAAATTGTAATATATACTAATGCATTACTAATCCTTTGAAATTCATCCTTTATATGTTTTAAACCATCTTGCACAATTAAATTCAAAATATGACACACACAACGAATATAAAATAAATACCCACCAAAATCAGGTTGAAATGTTTTACACAATTTATCGACGACTACCTTATTAACACTAGCATTATCAAAAGTAAAAGATCGAATTTTAGTCTCGCAATGATATTCTCTAATAATACTGATAATAGCATTATATATATTATTAACATTGTGAGGAAACTCAATAATTCTAAAAGCAATAATTTTCTTATGCATGCACCAAAGTGGATCTATATAGTGTGCAGTTGCAGCTATATGTTGCAGCTATATATGCTCTTTTATTAACCCCTTTTCATATATCAGAAATTAAAGATATAACACCCCCATATTGTTGCAAATCCATAATTAATTGTTGTTTTGAATTATTGAAATAATTTATTGTATCGGCACGAAGAGTGTTTCGACTTACCTCGACGTACCTCGGTTGTAGATATTTTTTCACGAACGAGACGAAGTGTTGGTTGTCTGCAATAGCTAGAGGCAACTCAGTGGCGGCAACAAATTTCACCATTCCGGTTCGAGTATTGTCCTCCGAATACACCCATGTGGATAGGGGTGAAGTTGTAGAACCGGCACCTGGACTGCCAAATTGCAAGTGTGTTTGACCAGCTGGAAGAAGTCCATGTCTGGCCACACATGCTTTGGAGTGACGGTTGAGATGGGTAATACCAATTCCTTTTTGTCATGCAAATCTTTGTTGGCAGTATTCACATACTGCTTTAGATTCTGCATTGCCATCGACGACTTTTCTCGTTGAAACCAACTTAAAGTGATCCCAACATTTTGCTTGTTTTTTGGCCTTTTGCTTTCCCCTCGCATCTGGGATATTTAATTCAGCATCTTCATCTTCATGTTCCGATTCAGGAACGTTAATATCATCCAAATCAATTGGTTTGTGGCTTCCCTGACCGTGAATGTGAACATATTCAGGTATCGGTATGTCATTTAGACCGGCAAATTCATTTGGAAATTGACTTTGCGGCGTCGTAGTCGATTCTCCATGATGTGGCAGTGGCTCACATCCTATATCGAACAATCTCTCAACAAATGAGCGTTAATCCATTTGTTTGATTGTTTATGATGAAATCTTAACTAAATAAATATAAATGTAGTGAGATTGTGAGAATTAAGAATTGGATGAATTGAAATTGTAACTAATAAACTATAAAAATTGAATTGATATTGTATATTTTGCAGCACAACTTTCAACTGCACAAGAGAGTAAAAATAAAAAACTCGATAATTAATATAATAAAAGAGAGTTGAGAGGGTTGTAGACTTGTAGTAGTAAGATATGAAAAAAAAATTTGGGGGAAGGGGGGTATTTATAGTAGAAGAAAGGGGGGAATAAATAAATAAAAAAATTTCAATGACCAAAATGATCACTGAAAAAATTTCAGTGACCGTTCTAGGCACTGAATTTTTTTCAGTGACCAGAACGATTTGGTCACTAGGACGAGCCACAAGGCGAGCCGCAAGGCGAGTCGAGTGGGCTCGACTCGCCTCCCGGCCTGGCCCACTCGGCTCGTGCTCGGGCTCGTGATTTTACTAGCCCGAACCGCCCACAAGCCTCCTTTCACGAGCCGACGATCGGCTCGACCCGTTTGACATCCCTATCAGTTCTATTACGCAACATTTTAATTAGAAAAAATCATGTTTCCATCGACTTGTTAAATAAGGCGTTAAAATAATACTCCAATTTTTGTTCATGAGTAATGAATACGTGTGTTATAATGATTAAATGCACAAACTCGATGGTGATTCTGTATCATTGAACCATTCATTTATGATTTGAATTCATTACAACAAATATCATATTGCTTTACAAACAAATCTGGAAGTATATATAATTGAAAAGGTGCATGCAAGAAGATACATGACTTTTTAAATTACATCTATTTATTTCATACAACTGCATGCAAATCATTGTGAATGTTCATATTGAAGTTTTGTCCACAATTGATCTATGTAAATGTTTATTACATTGTGCATTAATGTGATGTATAAACAACGTATGAAATGACTTAAGACTACATGTTTTAGTGAAAGATTGCGTGTTTTCACATAAATTATATTTAATTAACATACCTATTAACATACCTTTTATGTACATGAAATCAGACAGAATTTTGACTTACCAAAATCAAATACGTAAAGTAGAAAAGAGAAATGCATGAATATGAATTTGGTCGAGGCAAGAATTTGACCCTTTGTCCTTAAGACAGTAATGCCTCGCACTAGTGCTAACGATTTTTCAGCATTTGTCTCTCAAGATACAACGATCACGTCTCGCAATAGGAGCACTCCAAATTATGTGGACCAACGAACCTACTTACATTTTGAACCCTCTTTATGAAAGTTAACTCCAAATAAATGCATAATTTTGAAGTGAATATACATTAATATGATAATACAATTATGAAATGAATGAAAACAAACACATAGGGTATATATAGATGTTGAAAATGTTTGTTTTAAAAGACAAAACATATAGAAGAGACACAACTATTGGAATTAGTCTCTATATATCAAGAGACACATCTCTTGAAAAATGATAATACCAAAAATTACAATCTTTCATATAGAAAGATACCTTTTCAGCCAAATAATTTCATGAATAGGTGCCAAGATGCATAGCATTCTTCAATTTTGTACTATAAGACACTAAAATGTCTGTATAATTATGTGCGCATATGTTGGATTTATCCAATTTTCATAACATAGTAACTTCAATCATATGCTTTGAAATCGTTTCGAAACTCAAATTATGTTAACTGTGTTTGGGTTTGTGCGACCTTGATCAAATTAAAGAGAGTTTGATTGAAGTACAAGTGTCTTTCATTTGTATTATTGTGAATTGACAATCCTAAATTGAAAGTGCTTAGGCTTTTACGAAGCATTCTATATATACATTATCTATTTGATAGATGAATTGAACTATAAAATAGTTGATGAACTCTAAGTCCAAGTATAACCCAAAAATTGTAGGGGTTATCATTAATGCTTGAGAAATTATATGAAAAGTTCAAAATGTGTGAATGTAACACTACTACTTGCTTGTAAATTCCTAATTAAGGAATTGTGGGGAAACTTAGTTTTACATTACCATAGAAAGATATCTGAGAAGATGAAAAGGTAGAAAGCCCTTATACTAAATATAAGGATGATATAGACTAAGTTTAAAGTGGATGAAATGGGATGGAAGTCGATTATGACATTTGTTTGGATATGCAAGAACAATTGGTATATTTAAAGAATATTTATAAAGTTTAAATGCATTATAATGCTTCAATGATGATATTAAATACCCATGATTCTGAAATCCACTAGTAAATATGATAGACTAGTGTAGTATTTGATAGAAATCCTCTAACATTGTTGTTTGCAATTGACAAAGCTTTAGCTAATGAGAAGCATGTACATAGGAGGATTTCTTAATTGGTGACAATGTGTATCTATTAAATGAATCGATCGTTGGCTAGCTGTATTTGATAAGATACTAAGTCATATGAAATGGTAAGTCTAGATGCATAAGTCATAGACGTAATAGAGTTAATTGTTCCAATGGTCATTGAACTTAAGTCCATATCTTTGATTGGTCACTGAAATTTAAAATGTCGAGTTTTGGTCACTGAATTTAGTTCCATATCTTCGATTGCTCACTGGAATTTAAAATATTGTGTTTTGACCACTGAACTTTGAAAAATATTGTACATTACTCACTGAGCTTTGAAAAATATTGTACATTACTTACTGAATTTTGAAAAATGCTATACATTACTCACTGCAAACTCGATATTTTCTAAGTTCAACAATTATGTTAGTGAGTAACGTATGGCATATTTCAAAGTTCAATGACCAAAACTCGACATTTTAAACTTTTGTGAGTAATTTAAGACATGGACCTAAATTCAGTGAACAATCGAAGACATTGACCTAAATTCAGTGATCAAAACTCGATATTTTAAATTTTAGTGACTAATCAAAAACATAGACATAAATTCAATGACCATTGGAACAATTAACTCGACATAATACCATTAAGTAGTTGATCTCAAATGGTGTAAACTCATGGATCCACTAAGAAAAGATTTACCGAGAGATCAAGTATACTGCATATTAAGGGGAATGTGCTTAAAGCCTACTATGTAAGGATCTTTATAATAGTTACCCAATCTTGTTGACCGGAGATTCCAAGATCTTGGTTCAATGGGACAACTAAGTTATGAAGATTTAATGAGCACTTGGGATTTAATTCCTAGCCATTTCTATGATGAGAAAAGTGCTATCTACAGAAAGTTTTATGTTAAGTTATACTTTTAATGATTCTTATATTTTGGACAAACCAAGTAAGGTATTATAGGCACTCTTAATAGGAAATCCCCTATATAAGTGTGAAGTGGGGCCGCTTTTATGAGAATGTTTAAAGTCTTAAATTCTTTAAAGCACTTATGAAATCCAAGAGTTATTTAGGGCCAAAATGAACACAACAGTGAAAACTCGAAAACGTTAGGAAGGTTATTGTGTGAGTACTATTATCTTGGTTTACATTAACGACTGACAGTTTAAGAGATCGCTTTTACTGATTAGCCAAGTAAATCCGATAGTATTTTACTACTGAATGTTCAAACCCATAAGGTACTTATCCAGATGCAATAGCTTTCCGCTTGAACTCTCTTTAGCGTCTGCATAGTCATTTGCATTAATTTTCATTTATATGAAAGATTGTTGGAATTTTGTATATGAAATTGGTTTTGATCAATTCTTAATTTTTTAAGTGGAAGTTGTTATTTGATGAAGGAAAAATTAAGCCAAAATTTAGGTCACTTAAATCTGTAAATTAATGGAAAATTACATGGAATATTGTAGAAATTATTTGGCTAAAAATGTATCTTTTTATATGAAAGATTATGACTTTTGACATTATCATTTTCCAAGAGACGTGTCTCTTCAAATATAGAGACTAATTCCAATAATTGTTTCTTTTGAAACAAACATTTTCAACATCTATATATAGACCCCATGTGTTTGTTTTCATTCATTCACTGCATAATTGTATTATCATATTAATGCATATTCACTTTAAAATTATGTATTTATTTGGAGTCAACTTTCATAAAGAGGGTTCAAAACATAAGTTGGTCCGTTGGTCTACGTGATTTGGAGTACTCCTATTGCAAAACGTGGTCGTTTTATTTTGGGAGACGAATGTTGGAAAACCGTTAGCACCATTGCTGAGCATTATTGTCTTAAAGACAAAGAGTCAAACTCTTGTCTCTACCAAATTCATGTTCATGCATTTCTCTTTTCTACTTTACGTATTTGATTTTGGTAAGCCTAAATTCTGTCCAATTTTATGTATATAAAAGGTATGTTATTTAAACATAATATATGCACGTCTAATTTTTCCAACAATTTTTGGCCAAGTAGTACCTAATTAAAATACTTGATTCTTGGATTTTCTTGATATTGTGTAGAGATCAGAAGTTCTGGGTCTTTCTTTGACTGCATTTTCTGTAGTCATTCCCTATCTTGGAAAATTTCTCAAGGTAATATTTTTTGTCCTTTTTTTTCTTTTTTGGTATTATTTCCTTTCCTTCTAGAAATGTTTCTAGTTTGTATTTTAGGAGCAAATTGTGTATTGGACTCTTTTTTTTTTTTTTTTTTTTTTTATTTGGTTAAAAATTGCTGTAGGATACTGAAGTCTTAAGTTTAAATAAATCATGCCTCCTCTTCAATGGCTAAAGCTTTTAGACGAGGTCGTCCTGAGATCAAATCCGATCACCATCCTTTATGCAAATTGTACGAGTGACATAAACCTGTTTAGATGGGACATGTTGAGCTGAATTCATATAAGTACACGTGCCCCCTTTAGATGAGATATCATCTTTTCTGAATCTGTTTGATGCTGCAGAGAGGCGTTCCTAAACATTCCACTGGAACAAATACTTATAAATGGTTGCTTGTACTTCTACTGTTGTGCCGCTAAACATCTTGAAAAGTTTTAATCTACTAGCTAAAGAAATTTTCTGATAAATTTTCGTATTTGTTTAGAAGTCACGAACTGTCCTCATTTCTCAGTCAATATTGCTTTCAGTGACTAGACAGATCTTTAGGTGCAATATCTTTCAAATTATTTTAGTCTTTACGAGAAGACTTCTTTCAGGGTGCTACTTCGATTGATCAGAAGAGTATACCTAAAGGAGCGGAGCAAATCTTTGTCATGTCCCAAAACATTTCAGATACTCTGAAGGAAGATTTGGCTTGGGGAACATACATTCTATTGCGTAACACAAACTCGATATCTGTGGTACCTTGCAGCCTGAGCCCTTAATTATGTTTTGCTGCATTTTAATGCAGCATGAATTTATAAACAGTAAAGCACTGTCTACATAAGATCTTCAAAAGTTATATTTTCATTTAGTATAATAGGCCAGTAAAATTTTCTTCTGATTTTGGTAGAGTACTAAATATCTACATTGTTCTAGTTTGTCTTAGTTCAAGATGCGTTGTGCGTGCGTGGCTATTGGAACACACCCAGAGACGTCTCCAAAGAAAATGCACTCGATTGGTTTAGGAGACAAACACAGCGATTTGGATTCTCCAACTTGAAGGATACCATTTACCTTCCACAGGTAGCAGGTATGATCAGTTTTTCCCATTGTTTTGTGCTGACAAAATTATTTTAGTATATAAATCAAGTTACTAAGTTCATAGTTGATTTTTGACAAAATAGATTTGTATGCTTGTCAACACATATCGTAGCCAGGATGCTAATAAAATTTTATAAATTCAAATAATATTGTACATATAGAGGCAATTCTCTCTCTCTTTCATTTCACGCTCTTGATATGTTATATCACAAGTTTGACTATCCAAGAAAATGAGTTAAAATCTTGTGCATATGCACATCGTAAGTACACACAATATCAGTATTTATTGACTTGTGCGTCTCTAACTTGCCTTACCCTAGTTTTTGGCCAAGCGAGCCTCTGGGATCTCTTGTAAACCTCCAGGATGTGGTAAAGGAAGGATATTAGGGGAAGTTGTGAGTGGGAATTCCCTTGCAGCGAGCTGGATGAGGGGAGACTTTCATGTCCACTTCGGAGGGCGGGGATATCCCGACCCTGCCAGAGGCGGATTTGGGGGGGCTGGGCTGTAGCCCCTCTCAAGCCCAATAGCTTTTTTTAAGGCATTATTTATTTATTTTTTTGGTAAAATACCAGTTTTTTATATGTAAAAAAAAAAATTTCGGCATAGTAGCCCGATTTGAGATTTTGTAGCCCGATTTTGGATCCAATCCTGGATCCGTCTCTAGGTCACCCTACTATCATTATGCCTTTTCAATGTTACTGGTTCAACTCTATTTGTCACAATTTCACATGTGGGACTCTCTATCTTGGGTAGATAATCCATCGTCTTTCACTTGGATAGTGAGTAGTTCCCATAATAATAAGTCAAGTCAAGAATAATAATAGAAGTAGAATGGGAGGAGCTTGTCAAGATGGCTTGGTAAGCAAGCAATCCGTTATGCAGGGGCCATCTCCCATTTCTTTCTCTTTATTTTATTTTTTTTTTTTTTGGGAAGCATGCTAATGGCAATAAATGTCGGCCCAGGTTTCATTAGTCAGATGACAAGGCAAAACAATGGATTGAAGCAATAGGAGTGAGAACTTACTTGTTTTTACTTTTCTACGATTCCTCAGAAATTGTTGAACTCAAATCCCCTATAATTAGATTGACATGCAATATGTTATTGAATAGCAATAGTGCACTGACAGGCTGTAATTGTCCAAATCACCTTTGTTCTGCGAGACTGCGAATATATAGAGTCATGAGGGCAAATCATTGTATCCGCTTTAGATATTAAAAAATCCATCCAGATTTCATTTATTTTCGTCTATAATAAAATGTTGCTAGTATATTAATCAACAGATTATGATTTGAAGATGTTTCGAGCATATTTGATGTGTTACTTTAATGAAACCGTATGAATAATTTCAGATTCCGAACTGCTGGGGATGCTTCCCAAGGGCACTCGTACTCTACTCGGACAACCGATTTTTCCCTCTCCCATACTGAGCTCCAGTCAAGTGAGTCAACCAGAGAAGGTTGAGGGTTTTGTACTGCTGGCTTCTACTGTTGATTATGCATATAGCGATAAAGATAAAGCCTGGATAGTAGCCGTTGCCAACAAGTTTAGAGGTAGGGACATTCGCTAATGTGTGATGCATAAGGAACATCATTAATCTCTGTGCTTATTAATCCACAGGGATAAGACGTTACAGAAAGCAGCAATTATTATGTTATCGATATATACTGATCTGCTTCGTGAAGACTATTTCATGTCTAAAATTCCTTTGGGATATATGCATAAAGTGAGCCGGGCTGCTCAGGTCGAGATGACGTGAAATTGGTCGCTTAGGTAGCTTAAACGAAATAAAAAACTAGGTTTCTTGAACCTGTAACAAATACACCTCAATTTCAGTACTCAAGAGCGAGCTGGCATGGCCGGTTTTTAACATCCTATGTATGTTATCACCAAATCTAATATTGTACATCGAAAATATCTTAAAAATCGAACGGTAGTTGTTATCACATTGACCCAGCCCAGTTCGTGCATGACTTCCTTGGAACGCAATGGCTCGAGTTTTCCTCAAGCTGGTTCATGTGGGCCCACCTAGCTACCACAAAAGATCTTGGACAAATCCTCAACATAATTACTCGTACACTTTTACTAAAGTTTAATTTTATCCCATGGTAATCAGAGCAAGATGTGTGTCGGTGCCTGCATGCCAGTGAATTTTAGTCCTTACAATGTAGCAGTTGAGGGCGTGAAATCCAATTAGCCAATTAATTAGATCCAAATAAATTGATAAGAAATTTGGTGGACCTTCGAATTAAAGTATACATTCACACATGGAATTAATGGAATGGTTGAAGTACACAAAGTCTATGTTCGGTTTAGCTAAAGAAAATTAAAATTTTAATTAAAGTTAATAATTAATTCTCATCACATAATTTATGGAATTTACAATTTTTATCAAATCCCCAACGAATGGTATAGTTTTGTTTTGGTCCTCAATTTTGAAATAACCATAAATAACTTATTATAGTACAATTTTTAATCTTTATTATATCCTTCAAGAACCTACTTACAATTTTAAATTAACGTTATAACAAACATATTTAAGACTGTAGTCTGTAACTACCAAATTCAAGGTGTCGGTACACTAATAATATTAAAGAATCATTAGCTAAATAAAAATCATCCTAAATCGTCAAAAGCAACAGCCGTCCCTCAAATCCTATCCATTTTTTTATTCGCAGAAAAGTAGGTTGTACCGACTTTGTCGGATTACGTTTGCAGAGAATGACATCCCCCACGTCCCTCGTAGCTCATGAGATATAGCCCCATTTGGACCCTATTCTTGTCAAATTTTAATAGTGAGAATAGTATTTTTTCGAATAATGTGTGGTTGAAAAAGAATGAAATTTTTTTGATTTGCGTATAATATTATTTTATGAAAGATTATGTGGTTCAAAATAAGAGAGAAAGAAAAAAAGAAAGAGAATGAGAATTAGAATGCGGGCCAAACGGGGCATATAAAATCGAGAATTGAGCTAAAGTAATCGAATTGGTTGATATAATGGTTGATAAATCCTCACATTTTGCGCATGGGCCCGCGTGAATTAAAAAATGTCGACCCTTCATGTGTGTGTTCGATCATCTAAATGTCAATCCTTATGTTAGTAAAGCAAAACCCTAAAGTCAATGACAAATACTGAAGTGTGCATCAAGTGGTTTAATCTAACGGTAGGGAATTGTCGGTATGGATTATTTTTCGGGTTCAATCAGAGAGAAAATTAAAGATTAACACACGTCTGCCAAATATTGTCTCTCTTATGAGAACCATGCAATAGAAATTTAAAATATTTTTGAAAGGTGAATAGATTTTGCGGGAAAAAAGTAATATTTTGCTTCTATAAAATCGCATGTCTCATTGATTTCTCCTTGAAACATGATGGCATTTTATAGTTATGTCACTTAACTCACCTTGCATATTTAACTTAACAATGGGTTTAAAAAAAAAAAAAATGAAATTACTTCACAACATTTTTACAATATTTTGCTACGTTTGTAACACAGGTAATCAAGAGTGGGTAAATTTACGATTTCTCTTGTTTGTTACATATTACTTGAAATTTGTTTTTCCAAATTTATTTTCTATTATATAATTTCTAATAAAATAATTTTTCACGTAAATTCATAATTTTTACTATTTTTTAATCATACATTTTTTAAAATCACTTTTCACAAAATATATTTTTTAAAACACTTTATCAAACATACGTCATCTGTCATAAAAATGTGAGCTTATTATTTTTCTGAGTAAAAACCATATATAAAGATGAAGTATCTATATAATTATCTTTCTCACTGCAGTTCTAGCATCAGAGAAATTTTTGGAAAAGGATTGGTAACCGAATTTTAATAGACTACTTATAAATGTGGAATGCTTTTGTGATGTTATTGACAACTTGAAATTGATATAAGGTTAAGTGCACGCCAGCTTTGACTTTTCAAGCGAGGAAAGATGAGGAAGAGAAGGAAAGGAGTGTAAAATATAAGCTTTGGTGAAGATTAAAATTAAATTTTTAATAAATTTTTTGATAAAAATCGATGAAATATGTGATTAAAATATTATGAATCCCATAAAATGTGTGGTTTAAATTAATCTTTGACTTTGACTTGAAATTTTTTTCAATTTTTAATCTAGACCAAACAACGACAAAGTTACAGTAATAAAAGCCAATGATTGATAAATGGCCACCGTTAGATGAGTGACACAAGCATGGTACCGGTCGATTAAGATTTGCCACCGGATTTTAACATCTTTATAATGATTAAGTCAATAATTAGTAACATATTAAATTCCTAAAATACTCTCTTAATGTTAGTGCTCTACCATATTAATATTAATATTTTTAAAATGCTTACGTGAAAATTTAGGGAACAAGAACCATTAAATGAAGAATAAAATAATTTATGTAAAATAGTTAATTTTTGAGGAATGAATTAAAATTTCTAATCCTGCTTTGATTGTAAATTATTCTAGTTATCTTAAATCTTTAAATGTGAGCATTGAATATCTATCTCATCCTAAATTGATAAAAATTACTTAGTTATCGACCAAATTACAATAAATCTTCCATGTAATCACTATGTAGTATGTCAACTTACTAATACATCACAATATAAAAGTTAAAATAAGCAAACACAATTCCATAACTCATGTTTTTCCATTTTTCGTTTTTTGGGTATCTACGTAGATAACCAGTTAAGTTATGACCATCAATGAAGGATTTCTATCCATCTAAGATATGACATGTGATGCAACATGATATAGTCATGAAATTTGAAATAAAATTAATTATCAAACAAGAGTATTTATATACATTGTATTCCTAATTTACCATTTTCGTTTACGGGGTATCATGTCGTGTTTATGTAGATCATCACATAAGTTATGATCGTCAACTTAATGATTTCTAGCCATTCGAGGGATGACATGTCGCGCAACATGATATAGTGATGCAATTAGAAATAAAATTTAATGAACTTTTTCTTAAATTTAATCACAATTGTAAACGAGTATCTATATACATACTAATTAATGATTTTTTCTTAATCACAATCATACGCATTGAAAAAGTTCATTAATTCCTATGTTATCATTGTCATTTTTAGGGTATCATAGTCGTGATTGTGTAGATAATTAGTTAAGCTGTGATCGTTAATTTCAGATTTGTATCCGTTTGAGGGATGACGTATATAGCAATGAAATTTGAAATAAAATTTAATAGTATTTTTGTTAATGACAATCATTGACGAGTATTTCTATACATAATATTCTTAGCTAATGAAATTGTTCTCCTATCCTCAGTGAGTAGAATAAGACTGTTCACTTGCTGATGTGGCAAAAGAACATCATTTACAATTCTCTGCAAGTGAGCAAGATAAAACTTTCCAACGGGCCAGGAGAATATTTCCATTTGAGCTAAATGTTGTGTTTTATTTCTTTGTCTTCTTTAGTCCTCTCCTTAATTAGTTAACAGCTAAGCAGAAAGAGAGATATTTGTAAAAACAAAAAAATTTAAAATAATTTATTTTCCATTTTCTATATTTCCCATTATTCTTCTCTCTGCAGACATTGATTTTCCCGGCTAATTCCCATCGGGATAATCTGAGTTTCAAGATTTGCACACTCATAATTCTTGCTAGATTTTACGCTGCTATTGATTCTATCTACCTTCCAGACAATTTCAACACCATCCCACCTCGTATTATTTACTTTTCCGGAATACTCACCGCCGGCGATCTAAATACAATTTTCAATTTAATTTCTCATTCAAGGCATAAATGGAGTAGTTATGGCGTAATACTTATTTAGATTCTGTTTATTGACGCGTGGCTACAGTTGTCGGACTCGTTTAATGCTGAGGTTTCTGAGCTTTTAATGTTTTTGTCTGAACTCTGTGATGGTATATGTACGATGATCAACTCAATGTCAATACTATGAATTGAGTCCAAACTCTCTCAGCTTCAACACTTTGTTACAGGCAGAGAGTCTTTGTATTGCACAAGATTCGAAAATGATGCGAATGAAAACCAGAAGAAATGAGGTGCCACATATGAGCGGTGGTTCCTCCGCCGCCGCCTCTGATAATGAATTGGAGCTGAGGCCAGGCGGAATGCTAGTTCAGAAGCGGACAGACGCTGACCAAAACCTCGTACCACCACCCATGATCAGGGTTTATGTAAAATATGGGTCAATTAATCACCAAATCCATATTAGCTCTGAAGCCAGCTTTGGTAATTCTCGATAATTTGCTATTTGATTGATGATTAGTTAATTAATTTTTGAATTTTTGGGAAATGTGTGCAGGGGAGTTGAAGAAGAGGTTAACAGGGCCAACAGGGTTGCATCATCAGGATCAGAAATTATATTACAAGGATAAAGAGAGAGATTCCAAAGCATTTCTTGATACTACTGGAGTTAAGGACAAATCCAAACTTGTTCTAGTTGAGGATACCATTGGCAAAGAGAAGAGGTATTTGGAGGTGAAGAAAAATGCGAAAATCGAAAAAGATAAGAAATTAATATCTGAAATCAGTTTGGAGGTCGATAGGCTTGCTCGACAGGTAAATAAATCGACAAGTAAATGGGTAGATTCAATGGTGATTAAATGTTGCGAATTAATGTTTTATTTTTATTTTTATGGAATTACGTAGGTGTCGTCGCTTGAATCCATAATTTCTCGAGGAGGAAAAGTGGTTGAAAAAGATGTGTTAAATCTGATCGAGTTGCTGATGAATCAACTTCTTAAATTAGAAGGTGTCATTGGAGATGACGACGTGAAATTACAAAGGAAAATGCAGGTACTAATGTGATTCCACAGTTCTTGAATTTGAGATGATAGTATAATATCAAAACTTCTCAATTTGATGCTAATTTGCAGGCTAAAAGAGTGCAGAAGTATGTTGAAACTCTGGATATGTTGAAGATCAAGAACTCTATGACAACATCGACTCAACAGAAGGTTTACTCAAGTGGGCTCGTCTCATCCCCACCGATTCATCAGACTAGGCATTTAAAACCGAGCATTTCAACTCCGGTTCCACTGCAACAAACTAAACATTCGTTAATAGGTTCACTAAAGCAACCATGGAGCCACTTGGTCTCAGAACCTGTTGTGATTACCATGCAATGGGAAACTTTCGATTCTACGTCCTCAAAAATCCCAGGTGCTCCCTCGGCCAGCACAATAAATCCGGCGCAGCCTAGCTTTATCCGGGATTTAATTTGAGTTGTTGTAAGTAAATCGAAGTGTGTGTTCTAGTGTGGATGTGCAGTTTGCATTTGTTCCATGTTGGTTTGGTGTACGTTTTCCTTTATTATTGTGTCCTTGTATAACAATAAAATGTTCCTGGTAGTCCAGTTGAACAGCAACAGAACATGTCCATTTAGTGCTTCGGGCACCCTGCATGCCATTGAGGGTCAACCTCAATTTCATTTCATTTCACAGTACTACACCGTGTAATAAATTTTAAAATGGACAACTCTGAAATTGAAGATTTATTTCACTCTCTTCAAATCCGTATTCACCTAGGAACTTAGCTATTATGGAAGAGCGTACCCTCACGAAATAATTTGACGAAAAATAATAAATGTTTTTAGCTAATTTTCACAAAGAGGATATGGTTAGATATTAAATAGACGTCGTAATCTTCTAATTTAATACACGAGGATTTAAAGCGGAAAGCATCATTCTATCCGTATTCTTATGTTGGCTAGTTGATTAAGATCTAATCTTGAATTACAATATTCATGAATCAACGTATTTTTAACCTACACGCCCTAATTTATATTCTATGAAGATTTAACTACGCGGCTGAGTGACATCAAAAATCAAAGCTCAAATCCTATAATCCAAGAAATTGTTAGGACGAATTGGAGACAGAAATTCTCTCTACGATGTACACAACTAAGACATCAATACTGTGCCTTGGACAACGCCAGCCCACCATCTCTTACTTGTCCACTTAGGTTTGGAAATAATACTTCGGAAATTTTTGCACATACAGTTCCTGAACTTTCATTATTTACGTAATTAAGTTCAAGTCTTTTAAGAAGCTATAAAATGGACTCCATAAAAACTATATAATTCAAGCTCCAACAATAAGATCCCATTTACTCAACCATCAACTGCTCGATCCACCGAGCTCGTCCTACTACCTTCGATGTTGAATAATTAAACTAGCTAAAATAATCATTTTTCCCTTCTAATAATTTTTTCCTTAACTCTTATTATCGTCAACCATTTTTGTGAATTAATTACAAACATTAATGCTAAACATTGATCTCAAAATCAACTCATTAGAAGAAAATTCTTAAAACGACTTCGTTAACTCTTATCAGGGGTGACAATTTCATAACGTGAATAAATGTCGATGTATTTGATTACATTAACTCATTGACATATCAACTAAAGAACCAACAAAGTCATAGATAATGTCAAGAAATCCCATTTACAAATTAAGTAATTATAAGGCAGTCACATGAATTTAATTCTATTAGAGACAGAATTAAAGAGTTCTTTAAATATCATGATATTCTATTTGATTCTTAGTAATGGAATAACATTATTTTAATCATTACTCCCATATAAAAAGTTAAAAACGAAAGCTTCTTATTATGGAAGGTACCATCCAATTAACTTTAAAAAAGATTACTATAATGCAAAAGATCTCTAAAAGAATAACACGTGATACAAGAAAGCAAAGATAAAACACCAATAATTGCACATAAATTAAAAAAGAAAATGTTGTGTATACACCTCGTGGTGTCTACACGTACACCTATTTTTTACATCTTTTTTCACAGCACACATACATGTAAGTGGGTGGGGTCCACGATTACAATAATCATGGACCCCACCTTTGTGAGGGAGTGTGAAAATTGATGTAAAAAAAAGTAATGTACAAATAGTATTTTTGCAAATAGAAGCCACCACAATTTTATTTGTTATATTACATTTTAAGTATTGGATGCTTATAATTATATTCATACCACTTCTTTTTATAAATCAAGTAGAGCACATTTTTAACTACAATTTACGTTTTTAATCTTAATTTATTGTCAAATTTATATTGATTCACTTTTTTAATCATCACATTTTTATCTTCAACATTTCATTAACTAGCAAATGTATGATTTCGTCCAAAAATACTATTAGCGAGATTTAAAGAGAGAGACAAATAATTTGTAGCAATTTGGTAATTATTATATTTTTTGCTATTAAAAAATACAGGTGAAAATTAGTCTTTTGACTCCATATCAATGAAACTTTGGACAAAATCTGTCAATAAGGATAATTTTGTGTTAATTTGAGAATAAAAATGCGATGAAAAACTGAAGACATAAATATGATAATATGTTAATGTTACAGGTCTTTCATGCAATTAAAATGTAGTGCATTTATTTAAAAAACGTAATGTGAATATATCTAGTATTAGATATTTTGGATAATTAAATTCACATTATAGTCTTTTTACTTCCACACATTTTAATTGCAATAAATGTCAATAATATTTTCTCATTTTGCAATTTCATCCCTTACTTTTTTCTGAGCATTCTTATCTTAACCTTTGATTAATTAATACATATCATCGTTGATGATAGTTTCTCTCCATACATATTTTTTTCCATTCACAAGCATAATTATAAGTAAAAAGACATAAATATCCACACACACACACATATTATTATTATTATTATTATTATTATTATTATTATTATTATTATTATTATTATTATTATTATTATTATTATTACTACTACATCTATTTATTGCTCCACCAAAGTCATTGATGAATAGGTAATCATTCGAGCTATATGTTGGCTGCCAACTCTAACAAAAATGGTGGAGCGTAAATTTGAGCGCCAAAATTTCTTGGTTTAATTATGGGCTGCTTTTAACGCATTCATATATGGGCCTTTTGTTGGGTATATGGAAGTCCAATGTATAAGAAATGGACTTTCATAAATCCATGGGTCCAAACTATTATCATTATTGTCAATTGATAAATGGATTCTATAAAATACAATAACAAATTCAAGGGTCGGGGACCAAAGTGCAAACATTCATGGACCATAAAAAGATAATTGAAGATCACATAGAATCAATAAGATGCAATTGAAGGTAAAATGAGTGAAATATAATCAAAATATTTTCACAAATCAATTTTCAGCCAGAAAAATTACGTGCTGAAATTTTAGCCTCAAATTGAGACATATTTTTCAAGTAGCAACTTGTCGAATTGGAGAAATATTATTATAGAAGAATTGTAGTTCTTTGAATTATCTTTTCAACAAGCTTTGAAACACCTAAATCGAATATTGAAAAAGAAAGTTATGAAAAAAAAAAAAAAATCGAAACCTGCAAAAGGACGAAATAGTGCGAGCTAGCATGGGCATGCCCGCTTGCCAAAAAAATCAACAAAGAGCATTCTGCTCCATGGCGCGGTAGCGCTGGCAGGTTCAAGGACGAGCAGCGTAATTACCTAATTTGAGTCAATTTCTTCATAGAAATGATTTTTTATACGGTTTTTGGAGAAATTTTTTTCTTATATAAATACCAAACAAAGGCCAAACACATGAGTAACCTTCTCGAGCCTCTAGTTACGGAATAATATCATTAAAATCAAAAAAATATAAGAGGCCAAATATTATATTTTGAGAGAGAAGATTAAACCCTAGTAATGAATTGATGCGAATTACATCAAAATTTTGAAGAATTCAACATTTGATTTGAAGAGCAAGATTTCTTGCATTATTTCATAATTCGGGTGATGATTTTTCATTGTTTTTCTTGTAATTTATTTTAAAAGCGTGTTAGGTTAGATCTATTTTGTATTGGATGAAAATGAATCTTATTTTTTATTTATTTTATTTCAGGACTAGTAGTTTAGTTTATTTTTTGTGTTTCTTGATTAAATTTGAATACTCAATGCATTATATAATTGTGTAACTAGCAATTTGATAATTAGTTACTTCTTGTAGTGTTGAGAAACTTATAATAAGTTTAGAATGCGACAAAATTAGCATATATGTGCAATAGATGTTGGAAGCAATATTTTTCATGTGTGCAATCATATTAATAGTTTGAAATTTAATGTGTTCTAATTATTCAAATATGGATTAGGAATAGACTCGGATCATGATTAAAATAGAGTTAATTTATATTAGAAAGGAAAATTGAATAAATTAACTTTATTGACTGTCAAGAACGTATGAACGAAATTAGATTACAAATCAAGATTGAAATTTGAAATAGATAGCAATAGGAGGATTTGAAATTCAATATAATAGTCCATAATTTGATACAAACCTTAACTCTATAGCTTTCTTAAATTAATTTAGCATAGATCAAACAAACTCTCTTGTGCTTTACATAATTCGAATTTTATACCTAACTAATAAATTTGAATCGAATTTATTTATTGTATGGTAATACTCTTAACTCGTTAATTTTATTATTTGTCAACGATCCCTTACATTTATGGGATTTTATTGAACATCAACTAGATGCAAATATGAACTTGAAACATAATCTTTATTCAAATTGGTGAAAAAAATAATTATAAGGTGGACGAAATACAAAAGTCAAAAAATAGAAAATTTTTAATCAGGAGTATAATGTTTGTTTTTCAGTCATATTTCTAAATTAATTTTTTTCTTAAGCTATTGATGGAAATAAATTCCATTGTTAATTTCTAATATTCTTTTTATACCGGAATTTTTAAATTATGTTTCAAGTTGCGGGCAGAGAACTCCAAAGTATCATCTTTATTATACTTTACCACCGTAATATTTTGTCCAAAATTTAAAACATTTTTATTTTTTAAGTTATCCACAAAAATTATGTCGGTACATGAATATTCCAACAACAAAATTTATTTATTTTTTGTTCTTCTCGTTATATTATTGTTTGTCAATAATTTTCATTTATAATAAATTCTCGTGTTAAAATGTTAATAAAAAATTGAATTCGATTACTATGTAAAGATGGTGTTAACAAAATTTGAACAAACAAAATTTCTTAGGTTTTAGAACTTGAAATTATTATGAGATAGTTCAAAATTTAGCCAGGCTCAATTTATTCTTCCAATTGCACCACAACCAATTCAATCGACCCAATATAAAACCGAGATCTTCTCACTTACAATTGCCAAGAGATTATACACAAAAGAGACCACTAAAGTAGGCAATAACTCAATCACAATTACCACAAAGGTAGGTAAAGAGGGAAGGTGACGTCGGGTAGGATAGTAATTATCCTATTGGCTTATTGTAGCAGATGATTCGCAAGAAAGAAACGAAAGAAAATGCCCAAAAATCAAAGAAAATACTCTGAAATCAACTCAATATTATTAATAATGCAGAATACGAAAATTAACTCACAAGTCGAGTTAAATAGCTGCAAAATTATGAAATTATGAAAAATTACCAAAAATAACAAAATCTCA